CCACCACCATCACCATCCTCACCACCACCACCACCACCATCACCACCACCACCACGACCTCCTCCTCCTCCTCCTCCTCCTCCTCCTCCTCCTCCTCCTCCCCCTCCCCCTCCTCCTCCTCCTCCTCCTCCTCCTCCCCCTCCCCCTCCTCCCCCCTCCTCCCCCCTCCTCATCGCCATCGCCCTCCTCGTCCTCCTCCTCGACCCCCCCCTCGGCTCCGTGCGCAGGCAGCACGCGTGCAGCGGCGTCAGCTGCAGCCGGTCCGCGCCGCCCACGTCGGGCACCCGCGCTTCCACGTGCTGGGCGCCGGCCGCGCGCGCGCGCCGCCGCCGCCGTGGCGGCCGCCGCCCTCGCCGCCGCACGGCGGCCGTGGCCGCGGCCGTGGCCGTGGTCGTTTTCGTTCTCGTTTTCGTTTTTTTTTCGTTCTTCGTTTTCGTGAACCTAGACGGTGCTCTTCGTTTTCGTGCTCGTTTTCGTGAACCTAGACGGTGCTCTTCGTTTTCGTGTTTTTTGCTCGTTTTCCCTCGCTTTTGTGTCCCGAGGCCTCCTTTGCCGCAGAGCGAGGTCGAGACGAAGACGGCCCACGGAGTGGCCAAAAAAACACCGTGAAGGTCCGGCCCTGCGGTCGTCGCCGCAGGTCCGTCGCCTATTCGCACACTCTGACTAACTCAAGAAAAGGCCCCTAACCCTGTGGGAGGGGACCGCGCCTTCCTTGATTAATCAAAAGATAGGCGACAGAATATCCAACCCCACGATAACCACCCCGACAAGCGAGGCCTTTTAGTAAACGCACCCAAAGAGGGAATCGAACAGAACAGGGCTGCTTAATAAACGCCTAAGGCCGTTTAGTAAACGCCAATTCTCGGGTCCGGGTGATTTGCCCCCCTAGAAAAGAGGACCCCTAACCCTTTGGGAGGGGACCTAAGTTGGGAGGACCAAAAACATAAGTCTGCAGATGTATCCGACCATACCGCCTAGAATTATCATCCCTCATGCGACGACGGGAACCTTAGCGAGGCCACGTCTTAATTGTGATATTAGGGTTAAGGGTTCTTTTGTGATGGATGATTATTCCCCCATGTCGTCCGACCCTCTCCCCCTCTGCCTCCTGCCTCCCCCCCCTCCCTTCTGCCCCTTCTTCCCCTCCTGCCCCTCTTCCACTCCTGCCCGTCCCTTCCCTCCTGCGGCCATCCCTCCCTACAGCCGGCCCGCATCCTGAGGATGCGCGATGATGATGCAAGGGCCTTGGGCGCCCACGCCGAAGCTTCTCGAGCGGGGCGCACCGGCGCGAGTCGCCAAGGATTGGCCGAGGGGGCAAGGATGCAAGGGTACCCTTGGGAAGGTTGCCCATCCTTACTATGCGGGTTGACTGCGTTCCTCGGGTCGGGCGAAAGGGGGGGATAGCCAAGGGGGAGTTTGAGAATCAGCTCACGCAGCTGATTTTCCCAGCGCCTCCCGGCGCCAGGAGGCGCCCATGTATCGAAGAATGGGCCCCTCCGCGGGGCCGAAACCAGCTGCATGCAGCAAATTTCGTAACCCCCCCTTTCCCAATGCCCCCCTTTCGCCCGGCCCCTCCTCCCCTCCTCCTCCTCCTCCTCCTCCTCCTCCTCCTCTCCTCCTCCTCCTCCTCCCCCCTCCTCCTCCTCCCCCTCCTCCTCCCTCCTCCTCCTCCTCCTCCTCCTCCTCCTCCCCCCCCTCCCCCTCCTCCCCCTCCCCCCCTTTCGCCCGGCCCGAATTGCCCTCCCGCCCCCTCAAAGACCTGCTTCGCGCCCGCGGCGAGGCAGAAGCGTGCTGCTCCGGCGGGCGGCGAGATCGGGGCGACCGACGCCCGAGCGGGCCGGCGCGCACGCGGGCGGCCGCGAGAAGGGCGAGAGGCCCTTCCCCGAAGGAAGCCGCCCCCGTGACCTTTCTTGTTGCCTGTACTCGGGAGCGGCCAAGAGGGGGGTGTCCAAGAGGGGGGGGTGCAAATCATGACCGGCGGCACGTGCGCGGCCCAGCGGGGGGGCCAGGGACGTAATGAAACAAGAAGAGGCGCCATGAGATCTGGGGAGATATCGTGGCCCCCGCCGTGAGATCCCCCCCCCCTAGTCACCACCCCCCTCATTGCCGCCCCCGATATACCTTCGTGGCGCCCCGGCACCCAGGACATCCGGCTGCTCCCACTTTGTCGATGCGTGGGCCCCGTGGAGGCCTGGACCACTGCCCCGGGGCCGGCGTGCCGCCCCGGGAGCCCTTGCCTTGACGCGCGCCCGAGGCCCGGCGAGGGCCACCGGAGGCCGAGAATCGGCGAACAGCTCCGCCCGCCGCCCAGTTGTGGGGGAGCGCCGGCTCCCTGGGAAGCCATATGCGCCCCTTCCCAACCCAGAGATCCAACGCACTGAAAAAATCCGGGCGGAGGCTCTGCGCGGGGTTCCGCCCCTCGTGGCCCTCGCCGGGCCCCGGGACCGTCCCAAGGAACGAGGCAGGATGGCAACCCGGCCCCGGGGAACGGGTCGGGGCTTCCGGGGGCCCCGTTTCGAAGAAAATCACGACATCGGATCCCCCAGACCCCCGACGTCATGATTTTTTCATGACGTCGACCCCCCGAGGTCTCGACCCATTCCCCGGGACCGGTTTTTCGTCCTGAATCGTTTTTTGACGATCCCGAGGGCCGGTAAGGGCCCCTAAAGGCCGAAAATCATGAAAAACCTCCCGTCGAGATTTTTTCATGACTCGAGGGGGTCTGGGCGGAAGGGACTTGAGGGCCCCGGGGCCTGGCCGGGGCGCCTATAGCCCAATATTTGGGGGGAGCGGCAGCGGCCCCAAGCCTTCGAGCTCGCGACGTGGCCCCACGACGCGACGGCCCCGAGGTCCGACGCGGCGGAGAAGTGGCAACATCACGGAAATAGGGGGAAAACAAACCTACCTCGCTTTTGACCACCCTCGCTTCCAAGAGATACCAAACGATGCCAAATTGCAGCCTGTACTGTCAGGCCGCTTGACGAGGAGGCGCGTGGTATGGCTTGGTTTTGCCTGGAAGCGAAAGCGGGGTAGGTAATTCACGCTCTGAGGAAACCCAGACACTTCGGGCGTCGCAGGAAGAACTGGGACGGAAGTTCCTCGTCGTGTTCGGTCGACCTCGGGGCCCTCGCCGGGCCCCGGGGCCGTCTAGAAACGGCTCGGCATGAAACGCCGGTCCTGGGGAAAGGGCATCGGATGTGGTCGGGAGGTCGGGGCACGCGTCTCTAAAAAATCGAGACGTCGGACGTCTGCAGTCACGACCAGATCCTTGAACCCTATCTTTCTGTCCTATCTTTCTGTTCATCTACCGCGACAAATCGATCTGCGATGACACGGGGGCCCAAACCTGGGCCAGGGGCGCCCCGCGTGACAGCATTGCTGCGCCCAGGTCTCCGGGCCCAAACCCGACGGCATGACGTGTTCAAAGCGTGGACCCCTCGGGAGCGGCCAAGAGGAGGGTGTCCAAGAGGGGGGGGTGCAAATCATGACCGGCGGCACGTGCGCGGCCCAGCGGGGGGGCCAGGGACGTAATGAAACAAGAAGAGGCGCCATGAGATCTGGGGAAATATCATGGCCCACGCCGTGATATCCACCCCCCCCCTCTTTGCCGCCCCCGAACCCCCGGAGGTCTCCACCCGTTCCCCGGGACTGGCGCTTCATCCTGCGTTGATTTTTGTTTGCGGCCACGGGGCCCGGCGAGGGCCCCCCGCGGCCAGCAATCGGCACAAGCCTCCCGCCTCGATCTCTTCCGCCCTCCTGTCTCCGGCCGCCTCCCTCCGCCAGTCCTGAGCAGGGACGGACCGTGCCGGCATTCGAGTAGGCCTGGCACGAAGTTCTCTCTCAGAACGAAGCGAGTGCTCGAATTACAGGACATGTGCTTAGCACGCAGAAGCCATGTCTGAAGACAAGACGGCCTCAGCCAGAAATGTTCTGAGAGCAAGGCGTGCAAGCCACGAAAGGCTCTTAGGACATCCTTTCGTCGACCCACAGGCAGGCCAGGACGCCTCGCCACTGCTTGACCAATGCCTCGCCACAAATCCCAGGATTCCCCATACCTTCCCATATGTTCTGGGTGTTCGTCCTTCCCCCCACTTCCCATATATTTCCCCATATCTTCCTGGGAGTCGGCGATTTGTTGTCTGTGAGCTCTTCCCATCCTGACGGCGGGGGCCTCGTGGCCTCGCTGCTTGAGGTAGGCGACACCGTCGCCGTTCTTGTTGCGCAGCTGGGGCAGGAAGGTGACCTGCGCCGGCGTGGTCGTCCCCGCCGCCGCCATCCGAGATTAGGAAAAGAAAAAAAACGGCATAAACATAAACTGTTGGCGCTCCGCGCGGATTCTCGGATCTTCCCTGGACCCCCCCTCCCTGGCGCGCGGAGCGCGCAAGGGGCGGCGCCAGAGGCGCCGCCGGGGGGGCCCAGCACGGATGCAAGAAATCCGCGCGGAGCGCCAAAAGTGCATGTTTATGGCGAGTCTTCGCGAGAGAGCTTATGGCGAGTCTTCGCGAGTCTTTATGGCGAGTCTTCGCATGTTTTATGGCGAGTCTTCGCGAGTCTTCATGGCGAGTCTTCGCGAGAGAGCTACGATCAAGAGCTGTTGCTCAGCGCGGCGACGGCGGCCCCGGCGACACGCCGTGCCCTGCAGGCGGGTCGCGCGCCGCGCCGGAGCGTGGAGGGCCGGGGCCGGCGTAGTAGCGTCACACAGAGTCAGTCGCGTTCCCGACCGCGCGAGGAAGTCCTGGAGGCCTCGCGCGGCAGCTTGATGCTCAGTTCACGTCGGATCCACATCTGGCCATCGCTCGGACGCCCGTTTCCTGTGTTTTCTTCGGTCTCGTGCGTGGCTCCTGTCGCCACGTGATCAAGGATGCTCCTCGATGGTCCTCGCCGAAGGAAACATGCACCCGTCCGAGCGATGCCAGGACATCGGACTCACGTCGGATGTACGCCTGATTCGCGTCGGATTCGCGTCGCACTTTTACGTCGGGCCATCGCCGCGCGGGCGTCGTCCCAGATCTGACGGGGCGGGCGCGTGGACCAGATACTGCGACAGTATTGCGCGCCTCGCGGTGCCTCGCCTCTGGGATTTCCGCATAGAAGCTGGAGACCGCCTGGTCAGTGCGCGCGCTGGTCGTGCAGGTTGCTGCAAGCGCTGGTTTTATGTGTGGCTTGGCCGCGTTTGTCGTCCCGCTCTCCTGACGCGTACAGTCCAATCCTTTCCCCTTTCCCCATCCTTTTCCTGCTCATCCCCCTCTTCCCCTCCACCTCCTCATCCCGCCCCCTGCTCTTACTCCTCATCCCCCTGTCGTCGTCGTCGTCGTCGCCCTCCTGCGAAGCAAATCGAGACACCTTCGCACCGAGTGTGAACCCCCACCCTTTGCGACTCTCTTGGGACACTTCGCCGCCCAATCCGACACCCGTGGAGTGCAGCTGCAGCAGCTGCATGGGGAGACAAAATCAGAAGCACGCGAGGCAGCAGCAAAACATGCACGGCGACCGCATCCGACAACGAGCGGACCATCGTGCAGCTGGTGCGAGACAAGGGCATGCAGCCTGGAACCCGTGCCCAGCGTCCTCTGTGCATCACAGACGCACGCGACTCACGATGTCCGTGGGCACGGGGTCAGGGAGACTCTCCACGAAGGAGCTTCGCAGGGTGCCCACATCCAGACAGCCCCTCACCCAGACGCCCAACGCAGGTGCCCCAGCTAGTTGCAACTTTGTTCCGTGCCTAACCTGCTGCAAAGAGCGGAGGTTGATGTGAGACAACTGCTTTCCCATCAGCTCGCATATTCCCGAACCGTTGGCGTTCCGAGATGTGACCCATCTCAACATCGACTAGGACCCCACGGCCCTTAAGCTTGAAAAGCGTCAAGGAAGCGCCAGAACAACCTCCAGGGGTGGGCGTGACAGGAAACACAAACTGTGGTGGCTACCCGACCTCTCTCGTGGTAGCCATCGTGAAAGATACATCGACACGGACAGGCAGCAACGCAAAGCGCAAACTACGGAACACAGCCAAGAGTTCGGCTGCATTGATACACTGCACGTGGTTCAGAGCAGACCCAGGCACGCTTGCCACAACTTGAGTGTGCTCGGGGTGGAAGGTGCGAGCGTGGGAAACCGAGCCTCTGAAAACGAGCCATCGGGAAAGATGTCGCCTGTCAACTCGGTGGCGCATCTCCCCAGACAACTGTTGGGCCAGGAGGCAGCCCCAACAGCGTAGGAAAAGACACTAAGCAGCGTTTGGCTCCCCTTCGTTCTCCATCCCCCTCGCCTCCAGATACTCCTCCCCCTCCTCCTCCTCCTCCCCCTTCTCCCCGCTTTTCCCCCTGTTCCTCCTCCGCCTCCTCCTCCCAGCGAGGACGAGAGAGGCAGAGACGATGATGACAGCGACGACCACGGCGCCGACGGTGCCGACGACAACGAGAACGACAAGAACAACGACGACGACGACGACGATGACGACGATCGCGACGACCACGACGACAACCGCGACGACGACGAAAACAACGACGACAACAACGACGACGACTATAACAACAATCATGTTAAGACTGCTAGTTCTTACCTGCTCGCATGCCGTTCAACACTTGTATCCCTTTTCGGCTTCGACCGTATCCCCCTTGGGGGTACATCCTTCCTACCTGCCGCGTGTAAATGGCGCAGCTCCTGAATCAGGGCAAGATGACGGATGGACGAGGGAGGGAGGAGGATGGAGCACGAGAGAGATTAGCAGGAGGGGGGGGGGGGGGGGGGGGGGCTAAACGCAAAAAAACACGTGGCAGAACCAGACGGGCAGATCGGGCGGGTAGACCCTAACGGATGGGTGGGAAAGGCGGGCCCAGGCGGCCAGGTCGAGCAGGCGGGTTGCCGAAGCGTAAGCATGAATCGCGAGGGAGTCTCGAGCGATAATGCGATTCCCAAGTAGGTTGGAGGCGCGACACTTGAATCAATTGAGAGGAAGTCCCACGCGAGAGCGCGATTTCTGCATACATTGTGGGGAAGTCCCGCGCGAGAGCGCGATTTGGGAATACATTGTCAGGAAGCATCAGGCGGAAGCCGCTGTTGTTATAAACTGGTGGTCAACAGCACAGTTCTGAGACTCAAGACTTCCCCTGATAAAACACAAGGTGCGAGCCCCAGGAAGGGCACGTCAATTGAAACAGATTGTGCCCCAGAGAGGGGATGCACACAAATTCTTGTGATTGTTGTTGTGGAAACTTTTTTAAAAGTTTCCACAACAACAATCACAACAACAACAGTAATAGCAGCAACAACAATAACAACCACAACCACAACCACAACCACAGCAACAACAACTACAACGACGACGACAACGACGACGAAGACGACGAAAACGACGACGAAAACGACGACGACAACGACGACGACGACAACAATCATCATTTGAAGGCTGTTCGCTCTTACTGGCACGCGTGTCTTGCATTCCGTATACCCCAACCCTCGATACCCGCCCATTTCGTCTTCGATTACACCCCCTTTCGGGGGGAAACTCTTCCTTGTCGGCAACTGACTGAAGTGCGAGGAAATCTCGAGCGAGAGCGCCGTTCCTGAAATCGGGGGCATCTCTGGCCAGGGGCTCTCGGAATACGTGTGGAAAAATATCGAACGGGAGCCCTTGCCGCCGTGTCGGGGCCTCCACCAACTTGCCTGAATTACGAGAAACTCTCGAGCGAGAGCGCCGTTCCTGAGTTTGGGAGCCTTCATGGCCAGGGTATCTCGGAGTAATCGTGAGGAAGTATCGAGCAGGAGACCTTGTCGTCGCGGCTGGGCCTCCACCAACTTGACTGAATGGCGAGGACGTCTCGAGCGAGAGAGCCGCTCCTGAGCTCGGGGGTCTCTCTGGCCAGGGCGTCTCGGGGTAAATCGTGAGGAAGTATCGGGAGCCGTTGTCGTCGTAGCTGGGCATCCAAGGGAGCCGGGACGTCGGCGCCGGCCTCCTCCACCTCCTCCTCCTCCTCCTCCTCCTCTTCCTCCTTCTCCTGCTCCTGCTCCTCCTCCTCCTCCTCCTCCTCCTCCTCCTCCTCCTCCTCCTCCTCCTCCTCCTCCTGTTGGCTCAAGCCAACGCTCGAGCGGGAGCCTCGTTTTCCGAGAAAATGCAGCCGGCGTCGGGGCGAGAGCGCCCGGAACCGTTCCCGGGGAGCAACAGTAATTATCCTCCAGAAATGAATAGCCAATGACAACGACAACGACGACGACGACGACGACGACGACAACGACAACGACGACGACGACGACGACGACGAAAGCGACGACGACGACGACGACGACGACAACAACAACAACAACGACCGTGCGCGTCGCGCGCCGCGCGCGCGGCGGCGGCTGCGGCGCGCGCGCGGCGGCGGTTGCGGTGCGCGCGGCCAGAGGCGCCTCCTCCCCGAAGCACGGCACGGGGTGCATCGGGCCAGGGCCTGCAAGGGATTCGGAAAGAGGTCCAGGCAAACGGCACCCCGACAGGGCGGGCAAGATTCAGATCGGGCATGGCGACAAGGGCCTCCCAGGGAGGCATGCAAAAACGGGAAGGCGAGGGAAGGGCGGCGGTATGGCTACACATGTTCCTCCTCCGATAGTGGTCCTCACACCAGCGTCTTGGCCACGGATACGCGCCCAGCATGTCTCTGGCGCAGTCCGTGGGCGCCAGAGCCCGCGACACCTCGACCCAGAGGGCGAAGGGTAGCGGTCGGGGTACCTTTCCAGCCTCCAACATTCGGGCGCGGAGCTCTTGAGTCCGCGCTGGGGAAAACAAACCCAGGACGCATTCCAGAGGGACTAGAGACGGCCCAAGATCTTGTTTCGCTTTACTGTAGGGGCCCAGAGACAGAAAGGTGTATATATACATATAGATAGAGAGAGGGAGATATATACATATATATATATACACACAAAACTCGTGATTCCCCATATGCTACCACGTGTTGTAGGTGTTCCTCTTCCCCCCACCCCATTTCCCATATGCTCCCAGATGTTCCTGGGAATCAACGTCGAATCGTGCCCGTGAGGTTTTTCCCCTCCTGATGCACGCGCTGCCGAAGCCGTCCTCGCTGGGCGCACACGGAGCACGTGGGCCGTATGCACTTCGCAAGCTCGAGCGCGGCCACTGCCAGACGAACCAGCAAAAACATCGGTTGTCGGATCTGCGCGCGGACCTCCTGGATCGCTGGACCTCCCTGGCGCGCGGCGCGCGCCAGGGGAGACACAGGGCCGATCGAGGAAACCCGCGCGGGCATCCAAATGTTTGGGTATAGTGTACGTTTGTGTATGACGTGCTTCCTTATGCGACCGAAATTGATTTCGGCGAGGACCGGGGCTCGAGGCTCGAGGGGCCGCTTCTGCCAAGGAAGCCTTGCAGGATCAGCCATCATCGAACGGGGTGGGAAATCGGATCGAACCGGAGTTCGCGTCGGATCGGCATGCATCGGCTCGGTGTCGAGATCGAATCGAATCGCCCGCGCCCAGATGCACAGTCACCTCACATCAGCATCGGGCCGCATCGGATCGCAAAAAACAGCATAGGTCTCGGATCGAGCTGGCCAGGCTCGACATCGAATCAGACCGATCGGATCGCATCCCGAGACTGGGCAACCGCCGAGAGCCGACGAGAATGCGCCAAAGCATCGAGAACCTCGAAAGCCTCTGCATTCGCTGCCCATCCGCTCCTCTCGCTGCCCCTGACGGGGGCCCTGGGCCGCCGAGGGCGACGAGAAGGCCCTCCGCCTTGCCTTCTCTCGGCGCGACTTGGAGGGTCTTGGGCATTGCTCCAAGGGGAGAGGAGAAGGAGCGCGAAGAGGAGGAGGAGGAGGAGGAGGAGGAGGAGGAGGAGGGGGAGGGGGAGGAGGAGGGGGAGGAGGAGGGCGACGACGACGACGACGACGACGACGACGACGACGACGACGTCGACGCGGAACGTGAAGCGGACGTCGACGCGGACCTTGACGCGGACGTTGACGCGGGCGGAGCGAGGGACCGAGGCCCAGCTCCCCGCCCCCTCGGGGGGACGTCGAGGGCGGGGTCGGGGCAGGGGTGGGGTCAGAGGAAGACTGCTCACTGCGGCCCGTGCACAGGCAACCCGCATAGGAGGGACGCGCGGTAAAAGAGGGAGGAGGAGGAGGAGGAGGAGGAGGACGAGGAGGAGGAGGGCCTTGGAGGGCCACGTCGACACTCTGCGAGTGGGGCGCGGCCAGCGGAAGCATGCGGCCGAAAGGGAAGGATGCAGGGGTCACCCTGGAAGGCTGCTCATCCTCACTATGAGGATTGGCTGTAGGGGCAGCGGTGAAAATAGAAAGACATCGCTGCAAAACCGGCCCGTGTGAGAAGGAAGTGGGGGCATCCAGCCAGGGTCGCTCCCTAACCCCACCCTGGGATACAACCCCCTTTCCTCCTCCTCTCCTCCTCCTCCTCCTCCTCCTCCTCCTCCTCCTCTCCTCCTCCTCCACCTCCTCCTCCTCCTCCCTCCTCCTCCTCCTCCTCCTCCTCCTCCTCCTCCTCCTCCTCTGCCTCCTCCGCCTCCTCCTCTTTTTATGATTCGTATTCTTATTAGTATCAGTTATATGATTATTCGTATTCCTCCTCGCATTAATATTCTTAGTATTCTTCTTATCATTGATATGATTCGTATCCGTCGTGTTAGTATTGTGTTTCCTTCTTTGTATGATGACTATTCGTAGTACTAGTATGATTAGCCTTAGCATTCGCATTCTCATTATTCGTTATATTCTTCTGACTACTACAATTAGTATTACTAGTAGTAGCGCTTTTCTTCTTGAGTTCGGATGCATATCACTGGCATTAATATCAGTATTAGTATTATCGTTAGTCTTCTTATTATGAACATCGTTAGTATTATTATTCGTATTATTTATGATATTGTTATCATTACTATTTGTATTATTAATATGATTAATATTATTCCTACTAGTATTACTATTAGTATTAATAGTATTAGTATTACTACTATTAGTACTATTAGTAGTATTCGTATTATTATTCTTATTATTATTAATATTATTAGTATTATTATTATGATTAGTATTATTATTATTATTATTAGTATTATTATTGTTCCAAGAATCTTCTGAATATCATTTATTCGTAGCAGTGTCATTCACATTTTTGTCGTTGTTGGTATTGCTATTATTATTATTCCTCCTCCTCCTCCTCCTCCTCCTCCTCCTCCTCCTCCTCCTCCTCCTCCTCCTCCTCCTCCTCATCCTCCAGTCATCCTCCTCCTCCTCCTCCTTCTCCTCCTCCTCCTCCTCCTCCTCCTCTGGGGCAAAAGCCCCCCCATGACACGAACCCCCAAGCCCCGCGCGCGGCTGCGGCGCCTCCAGGCTGGAGCAGCTGCACGTCCAGGCCGGTAGAGTTGACGAACCACCAGCTCGCGTACCTATGGAGCGCAACGGGACGCGCTGCTCGGATCACCGCGGGGGGGGCTGCGGGGAGAAACCCTCGAAATCGGCCCTCGCGCGCGGCGCCCGGGCCCCAGGGCCATCGAAAACGAATCCGGGGAGGAAAACGATCCCCGAGGAAGCGGTCGGGACCTCTGGGGCCGCAGATTGCAGGATTGCCAGAGAGACGGAACTCACGGAGCACCGACGATCGATGGGGGGGAGGGGCAAGACCAGAGATCCAGGCCGCCTGCCCGGTCTAGCTGGGCAGAGGGTTGCAAGCTCCCGGGGGGGGGCAAGATACCCCCCGAGGGACTCATCATGGCCCAAGATGTCTTCAAGCTAGTAGCTTATGTCTGTCACAATTTCTTCTACCTTGTCGAAACCTTTTTCCCAATCAAGCAGCATCAACTTTGCTCGTTTGTTTGTGATCTCTCCGTACTTTGCCATTCTGCGCACACACTGCATCGCCTGCGCCGTGCCCCTGCGTTGCCTGAGACCGTACTGCGTGGTTTGAGAATGTGCGTCGAATGTCGTGGCCAAACGCTTTTGCACTATAGCGGCGTATATCTTGTAGGTGCTGCTTAGCAGCGATATGGGCCGGTAGTTGTCCCAATCGCTTGTGTTTCCCTTCTTGTAAACCAACACAACTCGAGCTCGGAGTACTTCTGGAGAGACATACTCTTGACGCCACCACGTGTATAGGATTTCTAGCAACGCCTGAAGGTTATCATCGTTCATCTCTTTGAATAATTCCATTGGCACATCGTCCGGGCCAGGGGCCTTGCGACGTTTGAACTTCCTCAGGGCTGCTCTGACTTCTGCCAGTTCGATATCTGCCTCGTTAAAGCGCAGTTCATGAGCGCGAATGACATCAGTACGGAGCGGAGAGGGCAGAGAGGGTGGAGGAGGAGGGGGAAGGGGAGGAGAAGGAGGAGGAGGAGGAGGAACTAATTGTGCGTTTGATTGGCCCCAGTGGCGCTGCGCCAGGTACTCGGCCGCTGCTTCCGCATGCTGGTCAAAAGCGATTGTTTTGCCGCGGATATATCTTGCGTGGTAAGGCTGCGGTTGGCAATCGGATCTTAAGTTCCGAATTCCCATTCATCTGTCGCGGATGTCTAGGTCTCTGGGGAGCGTTTGCAGAACGGCCTCTTTGTCCTTCCACTTGCTTTTTCTGAATTATTTGTCCAGTCGGTCGAACTCCCGTGGGTTCTGCGCACGCACCGTATCCCCGCGCGCGGCGAGGAACTGCTCAGTGCGGCTTGAGAAAGCAATGCTTCTCGCACGCGCCGGCGCTCTCGGCATAAGCCTCTCTGCTAGAGTGGCAAGCTCAGCAGCGTAAGTTGACGGGTCCTTCAGATCACTGCACCGGGCGGAGATCTCCCGATTAATGGCATCATTGTCAGCATCCGAGCATTCTGCGTACTTGATCCCCGCTCTTCCGGGCTGGGACAGTGCTTTGAGCCGCACCCGGACAGTGGCCCATACGGGATGGGTGGCCAGTGTTGATATTTACTTCGGTGTCAGTTTCAGCGTTTGTGATTGAGTTGTTCCACCTCCGCGGCGCGATGATGAAGTCCACTTGTTCATAAGCGTGGCGATGAAAAGGCGTGCCCATCTGCGTGCTTGGCGCTCTGTACGCGGCTAGCTTTCTGTCGGGTTTTCAAAACCACGTGTTGGCTAGACGTAGGTGGTTCATGTTTGCAAACTCTATGAGTAACTGGCGGTTTTGCCATAACTCTGGCGCCATGTCACATGGGTTAGCTGAAACGGCGAGGAATGCCTGCGGCCTAACCGTGCTACTCTAATCGTCACCGTATCGCGTCTGCACTCTGGCGTTAAAACCACCGAGCATGTAAGTCGGTCCTCGGTTTTTGTGCGCGGCGTAAGCGCGCTGCAGTTGTTCGTGAAACGTGCCAATCTCCTCTTCTGGTCTGAATGCCTGGGGAACGTAGAGTGTAAATAAAGCGATTGGTCTGGCGTCGTTGAGTTTGAGCACGCTGATTCGGTCATCAACGGGCTCCACATCTGTCGCGCAATCCAGAAGCCCTTATAATGAGGACGAGAGGTCGTTTCAAAGCAGTCCCCTGGGACTGCTTTGAACGCTACAAGGCAGTCTTCAAAGCAGTCCCCTGGGACTGCTTTGAACGCTTACCTCGCGAGGCGACATGAGGGGCAGCAGCTGCAGGATGATGATGGCGATGGCGATCGATGAGGAAGATGGAGATGACGTCAATGATGATTTGCCAACTTGTCTCGACGAAGCGCTGTCCGCAACTGCGGCCACAAACCTTCTGCTGCACTTGCGGTCAACTGCGGCCGCAAACCTTCTGCTGCACTCGCCCGCAACTGCGGCCATTACCAACGCGTCGTTTCGTAGGTCCAGGGAGCGCGGTCGTTCCACGGCCCCGCGCGGCCCGCGTTCTGCGTCTGGTCGGGCATGCCCGCCCACATGCGATTAGGAGGCGAACCCTCCGTGGCATTGCCCGCAACTGCGGCGCGATTATCGCCCCACCACTTCTGCTCATCAGCGCGCCATCCTGCCCAGCTCGACCACTCATCAGCGCGCCATCCCGCCCTCCACTCCCTCGCGGGATCCCCCGCCCTCCACGCGCCGCTTCCGCTGGCGCCAGAGGACCCAGCCGCAACTGCGGCATAAGAGGGGGTCGGAACACGACCTAGAGGCTCAAACCCCCAAGCCGGGCGGCGAGATACCGGCGGCGGCTCAGCGCCCTTTCCCGCAACTTCGGTGTCTGAGTCGCCTCCGTTGTTGCTGCCCTTCTGGCCGCCCTTGCAAGCGCCTATCTCTTGCTTCCGCTTCTTTTCCTTTTCATTCCTCTCAGCAAGCTTCTCTGGTGATATGCGACCCGCGTTGCGGGTGAAAACCACCGGGGGGAAGTGCGCTCCGTTTCGCGCCTTGCCGACGGAGCCGGCCCAGATCGCGTCGCCCAGCTTGCCCTGCCTGACTCGGAAGGGGCCGGGCGCCCACTCGCCCCGCGCACGGCGCGCCATCTTCTGTTCGAAATCCGCAACTGCAGCCTCGGAGGCGTTAGATGGCATCACGAAGTCGCGAAGCTTGTCTGCGACGGCCCCAGCCTTCGGCAAGTACGTCTGCAGCATCTTCCCAGGGCCATTCGCGCAATCGAAGGTGTGGAAAAAAGGCGCCAGGGGAGTTTGGTAAGAACCCGCCAGGGCCGTCGTGCAGGGCGCCCAGGCCACGCCGAAGCTCGTATCTCCCAGGGCAATTGATGAACAGAATTGCCATACTGTCTGCCCTGGGCTGGCCGCCTGCTGTCTTCCAGGGGGCCCACGCAGCGACGCCCACCGTGACTCCGCGACTGCGGCACCAGGACACGAGCTGGAACATGCACATGTCGAAGTCCCCCATGCAGACTTTGACGTCCCACTTCGCGACGTACTCGGCGAAGCACTCGTAGAATTCCTGGAGTTTCTTCGGGCCCCAGTCTTGGTTGGCCAAATTGTGGTGGACGCGCACCGCCATGACGTCGAAGGATTTCCCCAAATGGGGCAACGCTTCGCCCAGGGTGATGCGCGCAACCATCGCCCTCGAGTACTTGTTGTGCCATTTTGGCGCAGCCACCTCCGCAACTGCAGATTTCTTCTCCTCGGCTTCGACTTCTCCTTCTCGCGGAAAAGCCTCGTAAAGTCCACGTGATCAATTTGGCCGCCACTGCGGTCTCTGAAGCCGATGAGGAGGGCCCCCGAAGGCTCCCCGCCCTTGACGCACAAGTAGTTGCATCGGGGTCGATTCATGAACTTCTCGTCCGCAACTGCGGCTGTGCTCTCGCGTGCGTCGCCCTCCCCAGAGATTGCCCTGCAGCAGTCGTCGTCGCACTCGCAAAGGGCGATATTTTTGGCAGGATTGGCGTGGATCTGCGCGAACTCGTCTCTGCGTTGCGCGGGCTTCCCTGCGCTCTGTCCGAAGTTGGCCACGTAGAAGCCGATGCGCCCCGCTTCGCCTTGCGGTTTCTTCTGCCAAGCCTCGTAAACAGATCTCTCCTTCTCAGACGCACGACTCGTCTCGATGACATGCACCCGCCTCCAGGTCCGCGTCTTCGACAGCACTTTCGGCATGTAGGGCTCGTTGGTTGCCGCAACTGCGGCTTCCGAATCTCCCTGCGGCTCCGCCTCGTCAGCGGAGGCAGCCGAGGACGCGACGGCACTGTCGCCATCTTGCGTCCTTTGGTCGTCGCCATCTTCCGCAGCTGCGGTTTCCTCGTCAGCTGCCGCAACTGCGGCTTCGCTATCCTCCACGTGGATGTGCACAGTGTTAGCGAAGCGTCAGTAAAGTCATTCTACTGGCGAAGCTTTCGACGACAAAACGCAATTCAAAAAAATAAACGCTTAAACGCCACATGATCGGCACAGCGTTGGACGAATCGCGGCTGACCAAACGCGAGAAGGCGAGCGCCCGCGCGATGCTCCTTGCTGCAAACTGATGCCCCGATCAGGACCACGATAACAGCGTTTGGCGCGAAAGGGCGCGGACCGAATCGCCTACCAATCGCGACGTTGCGATCAGGAACCGCCGCGCCAATGACAGCGGCAGCGGTGATAATCGAATAAACACCTCGGAGCAAGTGGCACTGCCACAGCGACATCAAAGGCGCCCTTGCGTTCAATAACACATTGAAGGTCGGGCAAACACGCGCGAGCCCCACGCGGCACTACAGCGCGCAACAGCATGATGAGCGGAGAAGTAGACAAGCAAACGCGACGTGCGTGCCGGCGCGCGCTAACCTACAACCGTGGGCTCGCACGTGCGCGCGCGCATGTTCGAGGGCGGTGGCATCGCCAGAAGTCGCGGCGCGATGGCAACTGGTTGTGCAAAATTTGCAGGTCGCCAGGCGCACTTCTGAAAATTCTCGGGGACGCAAAACCATAATGAAAACCGCGCCGCGCATCCAAAGCGACGCGATCACGCGAGACGTACTTTCGCGTGAGACACCAGGGAGGCGTCGGCAACGTGGCGGCGGGC